TTTTTGGGGGGGGGGGAGGGGGGGGGTGTAGGTTCAAAAACGGTTTTGGCTTCAGCGTTGACCCAGCTTGAGAGAGATCATGGTCCTGCCGATCTACCGGTGTCTGCTACCGTTCTGAATACGGCTCTGATCCATCTTCCGTGCATCGCGGGGGAGGTTCGTGCACCATTACCTAAGGCCAGCCGCCTGCACAAACCTGGTACAGACGTCTGAAGAAGTAGCCCTAAACCCTAAACAGTAACAGTATCTAGCCCTTACATTTCCATATTGGCCCATATACCACCCAGAACCCTGCTCCCATCCTTCAGCGCCCTATACTTCGCCCTGATATCGATAGAGCTCCCAGAGGAATCCTTAAAGCAGCGCTGCAAAGGAAACCGTCGACGGGACCCTACCTTAAACTACCAAACCCCACTTTTCTGTAGGTTCTTATTATAAACCCTAATATGGAATTTATAGGGACCCTACAAATAAGTAGGTTTTGGTAGGTTAGGGTATTCTGATAATTAAGGCCCCGGTTGTAGAACCGAGCCTCAGAGTGTTTACTATAAGGGACCTTAAGGGACTATCATAGGGATCCATTCCCCCCATTCCCTACAAAGCACCAGACAGACAAGGGTTTAGTGTTCAGGGTGCCCTTCTGCGCGTGAAACAAAAACCCCAATGCCGAACATAAACACAACCCTAAACCCTAAACCCTAAACCCTAAACCCTAAACCCTAAACACAACAATAGTCCGCATAAAGCTTCCACTCCTTGTTTGACCGAGCCCCGAGTCCCAAAATCGTCCGGCCCACAATTGAACGCCACGTGTTCATTGCAGGCTGCAGGGTTTAAAATTTAGGGTTTAGGGTTTAGAGTTTAGGGGTTTAGGGTTTAGGGTTTAGGGTTTAGGGTTTAGGGTTTAGGGTTTAGGGCAGAAACTGGTGCACTGGACCAGGCAGGGACACCTGCCATGCGCCGACACGCCTGCGAGGCTCCTCATTTGCAGGCTATTGCTGGCGTCCATAAGGACGCAGCTCAAGGACGAGTTGACAGCCCGGGAAGGATATAGCAATTACCATGCAGCTACAGTCCCAAAGGGTCCTAAGTACTGTTATGGGGAATACTTCCACACATCATAATAGTACTTCCTGATATAGAAACCCTACGGTCTACCATATAGGTACTTAGGACCCTTTGGGAGTGGCTGCAGTTGGTGCACCGTTGACGCAGGAGTGGATCGACAGGACCAAGCTGGCAACCGAGGATTGCCGCCCGAGCTTCATGGTCTTCGACCGGGGTGCCACTACTCAGGAGCTGGTTTGAAAGGGTCCTAAGTACCTATATGGTAGAATGTAAGGTTTCTATTATTAAGAATTACTATTATGATTTGGGGAAGTATTCCCCATAACAGTACCTAGGACCCTTTGGGGGTGGAAGCTGTGGGCATTGGCATCAATCTTTCAGGCGCGAGCTGGACACGGACTTCCGGATTTCCCCAGACTAGGGTTTAGGGTTTAGGGTTTAGGGGTTTAGGGTTTAGAGTTTAGGGTTTAGACGTTCACCAGGCTCTCATTGCCATGTCGGATTGGGACCGAGAGGGCCGGATAAGGCAGGCCCTGTCCCCTGCCCTACATGAACACTGAAGATCCCTAAGCCCTAAACCCTCGTGCTATTCTCTAAACTTCCTAACCCCGGTGTTTCTATTCCCTGAACCCAGGTCCACAATCCTCCACTCTAGCTCAACCAGTGGTGGAGTCATGAAGCCCAAAGCCCCAAACTCCTAAACCGAAAACCTGTCTGAAGGAGCCCAAACCTATCAGATTATGAAGAGCTCTATATTGGGAGTTTGTGATAGGCTAAAAATCCTAAACCCCAAGAAAGCTTAGCCCGAAATCAACCCTAAACCCTAAACCCCTAAACCCTGAACCCTATCATACATATACCATCACCCTCACAAGTTCCATCTCGCCACAGCTGATGCTGCAGGAGAGAGCTTCGCGAGAGCCGGACAACGAGGCCAGCGCACTTTGCAATGTAGTGGAGCATGAATCACACCCTACCTATAGTCTCCATTGTAGTTCCCTTTTTTGGTTTAACTAATTATATATTAAGGATTTTATAAGGCATCCCAAAAAAGGAACTACAATGGAGACTATAGGTAAGGGTCCAAGTCCCGAATAATCATATACTCTTCTGAATACTAACCTACAAAACCCTTATCCGTAACCCAAGTACATGATTATTAGGTCCTTTGGACCCTTGGGGACAGGCTTCGCGGTTTAGGATCTACGCCGTATAGAGTTTAGGGTTCAGGGTTTCATATGGGGGTTTCCGAAAATAGGGGACCCTGATATAGTACGCCCGAATAGTAGGATCCTTATTATAAGAACCTCAAAGTAAGGTACCCCTAATTTTCGGAAACTCCCATATAGGACCCTGAACCCTCTATCCCTGAACGTGTAGCACCCGTGAGATTCGTCAAGCACTCGGCGCCGGACCCCGCGAGCCGAAGTCAGAACCGCTGAGCCCCAGGGAGTTGAAACCTTCCATGCCGATCTTCTGTCACTTCGTGTGTTTTAGGGTTTAGGTTTTAGGATTTAGGGCCGGGTTTAGGGTTTAGGGTTTAGAGCCTGGTATCCTACACCCCAAAACCTCCAGACCTGTACCCTATAACCCTCCGGATAATCCCGCAACCTAGAACCAAGGCGAATCTCAAGCATAGTCTTTGCCGCAATCCTAGGGAGCTGTGCGCCTATGTAGCATATAGCACTTCGCCCCGTATATACTTTGTGGGGTACAAGGACCCAAAACGAACCCTCAGGCCCCACCCGCCCCGCCAAAAATGAAGCACCAGTTGATGGTGTTGGGTTTGCGTGTTTAAGGTTCAGGGCTTTGTCGGGCGTTTGTTGAGGACACTGTAATGTGGGGCTTTATACGGGTTGGTTTTGGAATAGGCCCAATGCGGTATGAAAAGAGGTGACTATAAGGATTCCAGCGACTGCAGAGATGTTTTTGTTTGGGGGTTTAGGGTTGGGGGGGATGGGGGTTTACCGGTTTCAAGCTTAGGGATTTTTCAGGCAGGACTTTGTGTTTCAGGTGTTGGAAAGGGTTGTAGGTGCTGCGTGTTTGGATGTTGTGGGTTGAAGACTTAGGGTTACAGGTGTCCATTCTCCCAAGAAGCTTCCTAGGGTTTATAGGGTTGAGGGTTCCCTAAACCCTAAACCCTAAACCCTAAACCCTAAACCCTAAACCCTTCATTGGTTGCGAACCCTCAAGCCAAAAGGGTCCTAAGTACCTATATGGTAAAATGTAAGGTTTCTATATTAGGAATTACTATTATGATTTGGGGAAGTATTCCCCATAGCAGTACCTAGGACCCTTTGGGAAGTTGATTCCAGCCTACCGGGTCTGGGGTTGGGGTCTGGGTAGCAGCCATCACCCGTGCACCCTCTTGAATTGCCTTCAACTGGTACAGCGCCTCTCCGTGAGATTTACGGCATATTCCTGTGGGAACCCTTTTCTACCCCGAGCCCCCAAGCTCTGACCCTCCAACCCTAAGCTATCCCGGAAACCTAGAGCCTGGACCCTAAACTGCCCTCAAAGACCGAGACTCATGGGACCGTTTCTGGACCCGTCAAAGAACCCCGAAACTATAGATCCCTGTTGATAAGATCTAGCAAAAGCTTATATCCCAGAGGGTTTCATGAACTTTTGCAAAGCTTTATAAGGGTGTGAGGCTAAATCCCTAGGAATCAGGAAGGTAACTGGAACATCCCCCAAACCCAGATCCTAAACCCCCAAACCCAGTTCAGGATTTCAAGGCCTTGGTAATGCAGTTGCTATCCTTCGATGGCCCCACCAAGGGCTCACGATTCATATGGGACTTTCCGAAAATGAGGGTACCTTATTTTTGGGTCCTTATAAGATCCTACTATTTAGGGTACTGTATTAGGGTCCCCTATTTTCGGAAACCCCCATATCGGGTCGCTACTAGGGTTCTTACTATGAATCCTAATCTATTGGGGGTTTTAGGGCCAGGGGGGTTTCTTCATCAAGTTCCTGGGTGGCTATTAGGGTTCTTACTATGAATCCTAATCTATTGGGTTTTTTAGGGCCAGGGGGTTCTTAATCAGGTCCCTACATTACGGAGAGTCCTGCAACGTTACCCTCTACCCTAAACCCCTAAACCCTAACCCCTAAATCCTCAACCATAAGCCCTTAAACTCTGAAAAAGCGAATGAGGAAGTTAGGATCTGTCATGGTCCACTAACTCTGACAATTGAAGCCGAAGCTTGGGGGATTTTTAGGGTCCCCCAATCTCTGAACTTGGACCTTAAACCCTAAACCCTAGGCCCTAAACCCTAAACCCCTAAATTAAACCTTGATAAACCCTAAACCCCTAAACCCTAAACCCCTAAATCAAACCTTTATAAACCCTAAACCGACCTAACCCCCTATTATACCTATAGTCTCCATTGTAGTTCCTTTTTTGGTTAACCAATTTTATGGTTAGAATCCTTTAATATAAATTTGGTTAACCAAAAAAAGGAACTACAATGGAGACTATAGGGAAGCCCTAAGCTCTTCTGGGCGAAAGCCCCGACCAGGAGGCGCCTCGCCAGATGACTCCGGAGGCTGGTGATTTTGGGTTTAGGGTTTAGGGTTTAGGGTTTAGGGGTTGGGGTTTAGGCTGGGTTTTCGGGAGTCTTTCAGGGTTTTTAGTTTGGGGGTTTAGGGTTTAGGGTTTAGGGAAAGTCTTTCAGGGTTTTTTGGTTTGGGGGTTTGGTTTGGCTTTGCTAGGATGTTTTGTTCCAAGGGTTCGGGGTTCTGACTCCATAGTGGGTAGTATATAAGGACCCTCTATTGGGCATCTTGGCGCCGGCGCTCTGGCCGAGATATCATTGCTCATAAGCGCTGTTCCCGCAGCCCCCAAACTGAAACCTTAAAACCAATGAAATCCCGTAAACCCCACAACCCTAAGTACCATGCAGGTCTTGTAGCAACCTGTACAGAAGCGCGCCTGGTGTCTCTTATGATGACCGAAGACATACCCAGAGCGTCCTATATACTACCACTATGGAGTCAGGTCCTGAAACATCCAGCGTTCTTGTCTTTTGGTATGAACTCTCTGGGATACTTAGTCATAATATGCCTGAGGGTTTCCCTAAACCCTAAACCCTAAACCGGCATGTATTGTGGTATGACATACCCCAAGTCTCTTTTCAAACTGCTCGGGCCCCTGCATTAGACCATCAGGCTTTCGGAGTCTCCCTGAACCCTAAACCCTAAACCTTGAACCCTTGCACCCGAAACCCTAAACCCCTAAACCCCTAAACCCCTAAACCCCTAAACCCCTAAACCCTAAACCCCTAAACTTCTAAACCCCCAACCCCTAAACCTCTAAACCCCCAAACCCTAAACCGCTAAACCCCTAAACCCTAAACCGCCAAACCCCTAAACCCTAAACCGCCAAACCCCTAAACCCCTAAACCCCTAAACCCCTAAACCCTAAACCCCTTTAAGGAACCCTATAGATCCTTAAAACCCCTAAACCCTAATTATTGCCTGGCCGAGAGCTCCCTCGTCAGGGAC